GAAAGGGGTTAAATCAATTTCTAAACAGAGATCGAAGACATTAGATCATGTTGAGAAATTGCTTTTGCTTTGGATAACTGAAAAACAGTGTGCTGGTGACATCGTATCAGAAGCAATTATTTGCGAGAAAGCTAAAAAAATACATGCTGATCTCATGAAAAATCAAGCAGGAAAGCGAGGTGTTTAAAGCCAGCCATTTTTTTTCATGAGAACGGATTAATCATTTTTACATTACTTCTTATGGGAAAGGTTGGTTCGGTATCCGTCCTATTCGGTATAAGTCCAAACATCAGGAACGGATTAAGGTCGTATACCGACGTTCCACTCTATTTATAATCTTAATTTACTCGAGAAATTTCTGATCTGAAAATAATTTATATCCTGAAAAATTAATTTTAAAATTATTATGTGCAGAAATGTTTTGCTTTAGATAAACTGAAGGAAAAAGTGGAAACACTTAAATAAACTATAATGTAACAATAAAAACCTTTTTAAAATAATTTCAGTGTTATATTATTTCAAATTGTCATGTACCCGAATATTAAGACAAATATCCATCAAGAAAATAATTAATTCTAGTATTGATAATAAAACTATTACTCGACAAATTATTTGTAATCTTAATTTATAAAATATCAGAAATTAGACCAGGAATATATTGTCAACAATCACTAAAATTTATTATTTCACTTTACTTGCAGAAATGTCTTATGTTTTAAATAAAGTGAATGAAAAAACTGGAAAAGCTTAACCTCTGGACTGCCGATATCGTCCGTGAATATCGCCAGAGACGGCCGAAAAAAGTCAGTCGTCGTCCGTCCCTCCGTCAAAGGAAACCCGCACTGATTACTCCAGGAATATCGTCGACCAGTGCCCATTTGGATACCTTGCGCCATCATTGTGCTAGTGCAGGGGTCGGCAACCTTTTGAGTCGGAAGAGCCAAAATTACAATTTACAAAATTTTAAAGTTTTTAAAGAGCCACAAAACTTTTTCGTGCCAACAATAAATAGTACTCGCATAAATAAAGTTTTTTGATAAAAAATACTAATCTGTTTATTCATAAGAAAAAATATCTATTTATTCATATATAAGTAGTGTTTTTCACAACAAATTAGATAATAGAAACATCCGACGACGGCGTCATTCGAGAGCTTCCGACGGACTGACGACCGTGTCACGGGGGAAGGGTGCGGTGTAAAGCGAGCACAAGTGGCTGAGAGATAGAATCAGTGCCTAATCCTCGTTAATCGATTCATAACGATTTTTAAATGTTTTTTTTTTTTTTTGATAAAATAAATAATATTTGCGTATGGAACTAAAGAGCCGCAGCTTCACATCCAAAGAGCCGCATGTGGCTCGCGAGCTGCAGGTTGCCGACCCCTGGTCTATAGTGATCTGATATTGGAATAACAAACATTCTGAAAACATTAAAAAGCCATTTTTTGGCTTCTTAAAAATGTGAGTGTTTAACTAATCAATTTGTCTATGTGGTATCATCAATTTCCAGAAATAGTAATTTTCAGTTTAAACTAACAAAAAAAATTGTCTAGGCAATACAGGTAAAAAGTTTTGAAAATTTTTGCTTTGGAACTGTTGATTTCTTTCTTAAGATAATTTTCAGTGCAGTTGCCTTTGTCAATTTTCATCTATGCATTGAAATTGGCATATCATTGAGATTTAAATTATAATTGTTTTTCTCTACTTCATCTTCAGCTGCATCTTTGCAGCTTTAACAAATCCACTATGCTTAACTGTTGACAATCATAGCTGATGTAAGTTTTCCAGCTTTGTTTAAGAAGGTGAAGAGCCCTAAAAGAGTTTTTTTCTTTCTTTCTTTTTAGCTCTTCTGCATTCATTTTTGTGCTTTCAATGTCCTGGAGAAGTCAACTGTGCATTTTTTGGCAATAATATGCTTTTGTAGTTCAGATTATGTCATGATCATAAGATTGGATGAATGATGTTTTATTGGATGGGCAAATGTGTAACTTTATGTAAATTAAAATGCTTGTCTTTTTTGATGCATCATACATTTGTCAACCAACAGAAGGATATTACAGTTAAGTTTCTGGTTTCATGACAGCAACCAGTCATTAAAAATTGCTACTGTCATCTGGGCATTGTTATTAGAATGATAAGGAACTGATAATGCTCTCACCTCCTTAAAACAGCAAGGGGTTTTGCTTTTTTGCTGTCACCATTAAGTCTGCCTTCTCTCCTACTGTACATAATACATGATCATCAGACACTTCGTGGAAATCTTAGTTCTGCTTCATTTAGTTTATAATTGCAAGTGGAATATTTGAGACTGAACTGCCTAAAGTGCATTAAGTCAAAAATATAAAATGCCTACCAAAATTTATTATTATTTTATTTTATTTGTTGTGTTTAGTGAATGTAATAGTAAATGCTAAAATAAGCTTAAAACATTTTAATGTCAATAATATTCAATGACATACATTCAAGAGCTGATTGGGTAGCTTTTATTTTCTAGAAAAACTAAAACTAATGAATGCTAAATTGATATTCAGTTTCCAAGTAGTTCTCTGAGAGCCATTATATAGAGAGGTGGGAATTACTGGAAACTTAGCTCTCAAGACAGAAGTTCAGATAAGAGTGCAAAATAATAATAATTATTATTAAAGCATGGATTGAGTGTAGAAAATGTGAAAGAACTAAAGGTGAAGTATTATTTGCCTTGGTGATTTTTAGGAAAAAATTACAATAGTAAAGGTAAAGGTTTCTAAAGGATTGTTTTTTTGTTGTTTTTAAAGATTTTGATTAGTTTACATAAAGGAAAAGCTGTTTGACAATTTTGTAATTGCAATTTAAAATTAGCAGGTAACCCACCTGTTTTCAAATTGACTTTAAAACAGTTTAGTCTCAGGTTATTCACAGGAAATTACAGTAATATAATTATGAGTGATTAAATTAGAAATTACATTTTTTTTTCTAATTTGAGTGACAAATGTTTTGCTTTACAGAGAATGGCTGTATTTGCTGTCACATGAAATGCTTAATCCTTACTATGGTTTATTTCAATATACAAGAGATGATATATACACTTTACAAATTAATCCAGATTCTTCAGTTAATCCTGTAAGTACATTTAAATATTATGTGATCATATATGATTGTTTTCTAGACAAATGTTATATATATCTTCAAATAAGAATAAAAACAATTCCAACAATGCTTAAAAAGCATTTTTACTAATAGATTTTTTCAATTACCATTATTATTACTCTATATACAGTGTTCACATAAACATTTATATAGGGACAGAAGAGATCTTTCCAACATTGATTAATTGTATGAATGTGGTGCATGCTTGTTTCAGTGCTAAAATAATCAAAGGGAATCAAGATGATTTAGCATAACATACGTATAATCTATGACTATAAAGGATTAAGTCAGCATTGCAGAAATTTTATACAAAAAAGTAACATTTATTTTGTTAGAAAACATGTTCAGCAGCAATATAAAGATGAAGATGGCACATATCATTCCTTGTATCATCATTTTATAGGTCTGTTGTATGCTTTTCTTCTGTTTGCCAATTTCACCTAGCATTGCTGAGTACGCCTACGCATCATACACTGATTCTTATAGATGACCCCATAGGAAAAAATTCATGAGTCAAATCTGAGAAATTTGTTGGCATGTCTCATCCAGCTGTTGCCATACTGCTCTGCAAGCCACTGATGTATGTCTCTAGGAATGATGTGTCATGCCATTGTACTGATACCGAACCCATGCTGTATAGCACTAAAATTGCCATTTGGCAATATTTTTATTAAAGTGGCAATAAAAACTTTAGTCTGCTTATTTCAATATTCAACATGAAATTGAATCACAAAGCCTGCTTCATAAAAAACAGCAGAATGTCTAGCTCCCATCCATCACACAACTANCCCTATAAGATATAGATACGTTCCAATTTATTAGGAATCCGATTTCTTACAAGTCGTTCCAATCACAGCCCGACACGTGTCAAGTTTACGGACTACGGCTGATTGAAAGGTTTTCTTCCATAAAATTAATCGATTCTACACTAATCCGACTCAACATTTCCAAAATACGTATATTTTTTCGTAGTTTTATAGGAATCGTAATTATAGGGACCGTAATTATAGGGGGGTCGACTGTAATTCAATTGAAATTTAGTGTATATTTTATAATTATTATTGTTTAAATTTATATGTTGATACAAATAATGCTATTTGTGGCATATACAGTCTTTTAGTGTGAACATGCTAAATTTTCTAAAGTAACAGTTTTAGTGAAATTGAAAAATACAGTTTTGACTATTAATAGAGAAATTACTTTTATATGATATTTTATATTGTTAGATAAGAACAAAAATACGTTATATAAACTGCTTTCATATTAAACACTTATTTTAAATTGTTTGCAGTATGCATCGTTATAATGGTTTTTAATTAACCTTGATTAAAACGCAAAAATAAAGCATGGTTCTCAGATCAGTACTAGTCTTTAGACAAACTTTTAGTTTTTTAATATAAATAAGATGTTTTTAAAAATAAGTAATTAATGATATTAATTTTAATTTTTTCTAGCTTTATGGAAAATTCATCGAAATCAATAAATTGTGTTCTGCTGATTTACCGTTAGAAACTAAAATGAAGGTAATGCAAATAAATTCAAATTTTTTCATTGGCTATAAATTTAATATATTAAAAAGGCATTTTATTTCTTTGAAAAGATGCTGAATTTCATGAAAAGGTATGGTAAAACTCCATTTGGAGTAAGCATCGGCGGATTCTTTTACGTTAAGAAGAACTTCTTTATTCGAGTAAGTTTTTTATCTATATTCTCTAACTCTTTATTAAACTTCATGTATACACGTCGTTACTAAATTTATGCAAATCTATTTAGAAGTTATTTATAAAAATCATTAGATACAGAAATCTGTTAGTGTGTACAGTACATAACAATTTTTGAATGTTATTTTACAGTGTTTGAGTGCCATATATTCAGCGCTGTCCGTCTTGACTGAACTTCTAATTGCAAAGAAGCCGTCTTCTTGTAAAATTAAGATTGGAGACTTAATACAATAACGGTATTTTGCCTCACAGGCTGACTGAATGACTGAAGTCAAAGCTTGAATGTGAGTAGACTTAATACAGAAAAATGAAATATTGCATTCGAAAAAGGACGTCCAAAGTAGATATATAAAAACATCTGAAATCTCAAAAAGTCAACGTCTAACGAAACGTCAAAATTTGAATCTCGACTCTCTTGAAGAATATACATTCTGTTGACATTTCATTTAAGCGTTACCTGCCTAATTTTCTTAATTTTATGATATTAGTTATTTATTACTTTGTTCAGCTTAAATGTAGATTCGTCTGACAGAAATGTAAAACGCTGTCTAAGAATGAGGACGAAAGAATTTCGACTGACTCGACAGAACAATTGATTCTGTCATATATTAAACCTGATAAAAAAAAAATTGATGTCTAGAAAAGTATTTCATTTTTCGCCTTAACTACAATTTTTTCTGATCATAAATTTTAGAAGAACGACTGGTGAATATCCAGTTCTGAATGGAAAAGACTGATACTTCACTTTCAGAGTTTGATTCCTGGATGTCTGTACTTAAAGATGAAGAAAATAGACGGTTACACTAGTTTATAAAATAGTAATGCATTTGAATGCATGAAGAAGTGTTGCTTAGATTTATTAAAAGTGTGTTAAAGTTGGAAGATAAAGAAAGAAAATACAGTGATTACTGGTCTTACATGTAATAAAAGTGATGAAGAGAACCTAATTTTAGTGCAAAATTTAATTTAAAATACAGTCGAACCTCGGCTTTCGAACAGAATTCGTTTGTAAAAGTTGTTCTAAAACTCAAACAAATAAGAAACAGCATAAAATGGATTTATTCGGTTTTGATTTCCAAAGTGAAATTTTTTAAAACTATTTTAGCTGTGTTTCATCCATAAAAATGTCTACAAATGCAATATTAATACTGTATAAATCAAATATTAATATTAAAATATATAATATATTAATAAATTTTTGTTATTTAATTTGAGTTAAGCACCTTTAAATAC